AAAAGTTGAAGCACCCTAAATTAGCTTAATAATGGTTTATCTTTATAATGGAATAGTATAAAACCATTAGAAATGATGTTGCTGATAAGTATTTAATGTTATGGAAACATTTTATAACATAGAATGAAAAGCAAGTTGTAGATTGGTTTGTATAATTTGATCTCATCTTTTTATAGGAAACACATAATGCAGAAATATAGATGAAGGTCTGAAAGGGTATTAAGGCCCTAATGTATTAGTAGCATTATCTCAGAGAAGCAGGCTCATGAGCGTTTTCTTTTCTTGTAACTAAATATATATATGTGTTCATGTGTCTGTATACAGGATATGTATATACACTTGTGAAGAACCTGTATTGCATTTACTACTGGAAGGGTTTTTTTTAGATTGAGATATTAAAGTTACCTCTTTGAGTGAGAACCTATGATTTATACTTCTTAGTTTACCTTTTACCTCCATTATTTAAATCCATCTTTTTCTACCTTCAAATAGAAGATGTAACAGTGATAAAAAGGCTGGGTATGGTGGCTTACACCTAAAATCCCAGCACTTTAGGAGGCCAGGGGTTCGAGACTATCCTGAACATAGTGAGTGACATAGTGAGACCCCATACCTACAAAAAATTTTAAAAGGTTAGCCAGGCGTAGTGGTGTGTGCCTGTAGCCCCAGCTACTCAGGAAGCTGAGGCGGGAGGATTGCTTGAGCCTGGGAGGTCAAGGCTGCTGTGAATCGTGAATACACCACTGCACTTCAGCCTGGGTGGCAGGCAGAGTGAGACTCTGTCTCTAAAAATATAATATTTTAAGAGAGAAAAACAAAAACTAGTGATAAAAAGAACTTAAAACAAACTGATTTTTAAGTGGACTATTGATAATTATAATGGCTGAAATTTTTAATTGCCATTTGTATCAATGAATAACCCTGCTGTCACTACATTTTCTGGTGTGTTTGGTGTATCTGGTTCCTATAGGAGAGACAGTAATGCGATTTGACATACTGTATTGCTGATTAGAAGCCTAATCTCTGTAATGGGAAGCTCAATAATGAAGCTTGTTCAGAACTGTGTTACAGTCAGTTAACGAAGCTCTGAGATCAAGGGCCTGGCTTTTGGTGGCCTCTACTTCAGAATCCAGAGGTTTGTTTCTATTTATTTGGGTTTTGCAGCTAAGTTCCCTGGACTCAGGTGACCTGCAGGTTGGCTCTGCTGTAATAGGTAAATTGCTAAAAAAAGACATTGGCCTTGGTATGTACAACTTAACATTTTATTGGCGACATAGTCTTATTACAGAACAATCACATTAAGCTAGAACTTGGTGTATAACCAGCATAGATACTCCTACCACCCTCAGTGTATAACCAAAGTGCTAAATTGCATGCACAGATAACAGGCATATAATTGGTTATTTCAGAAAAGTTATACCTGGTGGGCAGTGAGAGGTGAGCCCTGATCTGAGAAACCCCAGTGCTTCAAGGGGAAGCAATCTGGGAAACTCCAGTGTTGGGATTGGGGTTCAATCTGGGAAACCCCAGTGCTGACAGGGTACGTGGTACAAGCTTGATAAAAACTTGCTTAATGTCCCACCTGTAATCCCAGCAATTTGGGAGGCTGAGGCAGCTGGATTACTTGAGTTCAGGAGTTCGAGACCAGTCTGGGTAACACGGTGACACCCTGTCTCTACAAAAAATACAGAAATTAGCCTGGTGTGGCAGTATGCTCCTGTAGTCCCAGCTGTTAAGGAGGCTGAGGTGGGAGAATGGCTTGAGCATGAGAGTTGGAGGTTGCAGTGGGCTGAGATCGCGCCATTGCACTCCAGCCTGAGCTACAGAAAATAATAATAATTTTTAAAAACTTAATGACGATAGCATTTGAGTTGGCTTTTCAATCCTGGTCTCCTAAATATGTGAGCCTGGACCATTAAACTGTGTGACAAGGAGCTGTCATCTTAACATACAGACATTCAATGCATTGTTCAAGATCAGAAATGATTTCTTGGTTCTGAGGCACTATTGACTGTGTGTAAGGTGCCATCGTTAATTTGGTAACAAGGGGAGACGGTGGCAGGGAAGTTCCTGTTGCCTGTCTTGTGATAGGCTTGCTGATTTCTCAAAGGTTAAGATATTAAATTGTCTTAATCAAAGAGGGTATTTAAGGGCATCATTAGGGTTAGTTCTCAGGTCTCCTGACTCCTAGCTTCTCTAGTTTAGTGATTCGTGTTTGCCTTTTGACAGTTTACCACTCACTTTAATGGTTTTTACTAGCTCTCTTGACATGCTTTTCACTGCTTACATGGTTGGTTTCCTACCTAGCTGAACGCAAGCATCTGTGCCTTCTGCTGTGTTAGCTGGTGGTGATGCAGCCCACAGGTACTTGTCTCTTTCTTTCAGGAGAGTTCAGCAACCATCTATTTTATGTTGAAAGGCACTGTACTGGGAGATGAAGAACACGGAGTTCTAGGCTTCCAGGAATTTATCATCACTTGCTGATTTGAGCTGAGCCTGGCACTTGAACATGGGCCGTAGATTTCCAGATTTCCAGATGTAAAAAGAAAGAGAGAGAGAGATCCTTGAATGTGTAGACTTGTCTTTCTGCCTGCTTGCTTCACTTCTTATCATTTTAAATTGATATTTAAATTTAAAATATTTAAATATCAATTGATATCCTGGTTTGATGTGATCATGTCCCAACACAGCACAATAGCCTGTATGGCTTTGGGCATGCACCTGTGGCAGTTGCAAAGGTTTTTACAGTGAGGTGGCTAAGAGGAGAGTAAGGCCAGTGTATAGAGTGTGGATGAGGTCAGATGTGCGACTGTATTTCTTGATTTAAGTCATTTGATTTAGGAGCTATTTCTTTGGAATATTTTATATATGAGAATGTACATCTGATTGGAAGACAGAAGGTACTGAAATGTACCTCTTGAATTATTCTGGTATAAAATTAAACTAAATACCAGGCATATACTTAATTTCACAGACTTGCAAATAATATACTGGGGTAATGGAAGAGACAGGACCTTCTATGTGGTATGAAGTTCTGTGATAATTCCTATCTTCCTTTGTACCTAAAAGAGGCACCCTTTCCTGTCATACTGCAAACAGATGCCACTACTATGTGTAGACACATTTGCCAGCTGTGGCACAGCTGGTCACCCGGGCCTCATCACAGCTGCCTATAAAACCCACATTTATTCTCTTCCCCCTAGATCTTCTTTAGAAATTACTGGTATCATTTTAGGGAGTATCCTAGTGACACCACTTAAATAATGAATTTTCCAATTTCTTCTTTTTCCACGGCCTTCACGTCATCTGGTAAATATTCCCCTCAGGTTGGCATCTGCTTCTGAGACTCTGCTGGACATAGATATATTAACCAGGGACGGACGAAGGTCTTGGAAGATTGAAGTGATTAGGAACATTTCTTCCAGTATCTCCTGTTCATTGTTTTTGACTTCCCTGATTTCCAATATATTATCTACTCCGGCCACACAGAACAGCTTGCCTGAGCTCAGCTAAGTCTTGCTCTCCGGTCAGGGACCAGCTCAAAGGCTGTCCCTTTTTTTATTTATTTCCTGGGTCTTCACCTGGCCTCTTCCCTGCACTCGGTGGAGATGCCTGCCCCATGCTTTTCAGTAGCGTTGGCTCTTAGCTGTTCCGTTCCGGGGAAGGATTGGTTCTTTGTTTTCCTGTTCTCCATGTGTGTTGTGAATTTCATTCTTTGTCACTGTATCACGTGAGGTGGGTAGGGAAGAGAACTTTTACCCTCCCCGCTGTTGTTAGTGGCCTGATTACGAGTCTGTGGGAAAGAGTGAAGGCTGGAAAGAAGATCTGGTGGGAAAGAACAAGAGTCGTCCTTGAGCAGCCAAACTAAGTCGTCAGAAAGTTAATGTAATAAAGCAGGAATTCTAATGGGCTGCCTGCTACAGCGGAGATGGAAGGTGGTGTAGGGCTCCTGACTGTAAAATGCAGGAGCCACCAGCAGATGGTGATGCGACTTCTCAGCCCAGGTGGGACTCTGCATCTCCCCCTCCCATGGACAGTCACTTGATAAGTGTTGTGCCGGTCACCCATGCCCTGGTCATTCTTATCGTATCGAAGAATGGTAATATAAGTATGCCGTAAATTCCCATTGTAAGAAATAATCGCCTTTTAAAAGGAAGCATTCAAGAAAAAGACCTTTTGGCTCAATAAAGCCTTTCTTTTCCTCAACACTCTTGACTCTTAAAAGGGGCCTCGAAATGGGAATTTACACGGAACTTTAAACAGAAGAAACTCCCTCTGCCTTGGGCTGCAACTTGTCCCTGGCAGGGTTTGGGCTGTGGGGTCATGGGATCTGTCTCTTTGACCATTGTATGCAAAAATGATTTTAAAATTGGCCTCCCTAACCTGTTGGAGACATTAGTTTTAAAAAAAAGAGAGAGTAAAGAGGAAAATATTTTGCTTTTGGGTATGCACTGGATCCATTTTTAAAGTGAGAGAAGGTGAAAGGGGTGACTGGTTGATTTAAGATAATACTTTTAGAGCCACGGGCAACTGTGAAAGGCAAGGAAATGTAAAAAGGGCCAAAGCACGTTGATTGCAGGACCTGTGGTCCCAAAGCAGCACGTGAAGGAGGTTTCAAGGCTGTTTCTAGAAACAAGAACCACGAAGGTGGCATAGGTCGAGAAGCTTGCTGGATGTCACGAAGCTAGTGGAGATGGGATCCAAAGCTAGTTTTGGCTGATGAGAATACAGGCTCATGCCTTGTATGTGAGGACAGTGGGACAGTTGTTTAAATGGAAGTATCTAGAGGAGTTTCCTTATTGCCTTGAATATATTTCTTTTTAACATTGCTATGGACATTTAGGAAAAGATGCCACTGATACTCCAAAAGGGACATTCCATACACCTCAGATGGATCCCGGAGGCTCCAGGGTCACCTGGGCCGGGCCAGGTATACACACGTCTCATGGCAAGCTGGCTGTTATAACTCCCCTGATGTTGTTTTGCTGCAAGGGCAGCATTGTGGGGCTGTGGTTTGAATTGCTTTTTTGTGTCTCTTGAATACACGAAGTTCCTCCTATAGTCATTGGCTCTGCTGCCTCTGATGAGGCACTTCCTTGTTCCCCACATTTGAATTTGCTCCCGATTCGAGAGAGGCAGGCATCAGCGGCAGCAGCTTCCAACCCAGACAGGCTTCAGCAGCGCGAGGGTGCCTGGGTGGGTGGCTGCGCGGGGCCCTACCTGGACGGGAGCGGCTGCAGAGCCCTCCCCACGCGGTGCCTCCCGCTCCAGGCTGTTGGTTACCTGGCAGGGAGCTGGCAGAGACCAGGATTTCTCCTCACCGCCGCCGTTGCTGTTGTTAGGGGAAACAGACCATCTGCATCTAGACCTGCCTCTCTCTCCTCTCCCTACTTCAGACGAGCTCTTCCTGCCTGGAATCTGGTAAGTGCCACCGAAGGTTCCATTCCCCTTATTACTCGATTCGTGCCCACAGCATCAGGAGAAGGTTCTCTTATCGTGAATCCCTTAGCTTTAACCCAGATGTGCAGGATTTGGGGAATTATTTGAACTTGCTTGCTTTCTTTTTAAAATGTCCATTAGACATTTTTTGCATGCTTCAAAATCAAAAGGCGGCACAGTGAAAACATTTTAATTATTTATGTATTTAACCTGTGTCATCTTGTTTGCAACCTCTTTTCTTCAGGGTGGTGCAGCGAAAAATTACGCAGATATTGCTCTGGTGCTTCTCCCCCCCTTTTATGAATAAATTACTGCATTTGTCATCACTGTGTTCCTGAAATGTCAAAAATAGACACTGTAAAGGAATCTGTCATGTAGAGTTCAGAGATTTTCAGATTTCTGAGTTCAAAACCTCAGGTGAAGCGAGGACAGATCTTTTATTTAAAATTTGATTCTTTTTAGGCTTCACTGTGAATTAAGTTCAATTTAGAGCATAGCTAATGCAATCAGCCAGCTCATGATGGGACAACATACTTCTCTATTGTTTTAGATTCACCTCCTGGGATACACACACCTTCTCATTTGTTTTATAACCTTTACAGGAAATACCTGGGGATGAGTCACATGACCCCTAACTTGAATTTTTACATGTATTCACACAGATGAAATGATTTTGCTCTTATATGGATAAATGTGCAGTTAGGAACTTTAAAAAATTGTAAATGAGGTGCTTAATCTTTACTCATTGTCTTTTCCCACATTCTTCAGCCCTCAAACATACAAACTTTTTTTTCCTTTAACAGAAAATAAAACTGGCACTTAGTTTTAATTTACTCTAAGTTAAAGACTACCCATGTTATGTGCCATTAAAAATGACATAGAAATTAATCTGTCTTTCTCTTTGACCTAATCTTACTAGCCAGGGATATTGAGTCTCTACTTTTCTGTTCTCTCTCTCTCTCTCTTTTTTTTTTTTTTTTACATCAGCCACAGGTAATACTCTCTGGTAAACATATAACTTGAGGAAAATTGAATTAGGCTAATGCTGGAATAGAAAACCAGGGCAGTGCCTGCTCTGTTTGGATGATTCTATATAAACAGTGAGAAAGTCTCAGGCTGCCATAGACAAAGGCTGAGACGGGAGCTCCTGGTGATTTTTATGAGGGGGAAGAGGAGATGGTGAGGAGGAGGGCACCGAGCATGTGCAGCAACTTGAAGCATGTCGGAAAGAACATTTGCCAGAAATCTTCAAAACCGTGGCCGTTGGTCATGTGTGAAATGGAACTTCTGGCCCTGTTTGCTTGATGGCGACTTCTTATTGTGCTTGAGAATTGTGTGGCATTGGGTCCTTGGATGTGGGAGGAACAGCAAAGTGGTTTAGTGAACAGGGAAGTGCCTTCCTTTTTGGGTGGGACTTGCCGTGGTAGAGCCTGGGCCATCACCTTAAAAGGAGATGTTTCTGTTGAGAGATGGAAAATTGGCAAGACAAATGCCATAAACTTTAACCTGTTTATAATTCCTTACCTGTAAACTGCTTTGCACGCAAGGTAATGGTTCTACCCCATAAGGGACAAGGAAGAACAGCACATAAACCTGATGGAATGGAGTGTGGCCGTGGGTGGGAGCAGCTTTGCAAGAAGGAAATGGGACCCCTTCTTGAGACACCCCCGTTTGCTTCTGCTCCTTCTTGCCATTGACGTGCCCTTCTCCTGAAATTACCCAAACCTGTGTTCGGCAACAAGAGGCTGCCCCTTGATCCAGATGCATTTTTCAGCTTGTAAACGCTCACCTCTTGCCAAGGGACCCAAGCACCTGGTTAATGATCTTAAATGTGAATGATCCTTTGCCTTGATTAACATTGAGCTGGGTTAGTATGCACAGGCCAAGCTCCATGGTCCTTCCATGTGATCCCTTCCCTGCCAGCCACCTGCCCACCTGTAGGAACTGGGCATGGCCAGTTTTCTCTTTATATGCTCTCTTTGCCTTGGATGGAATTTGGGCTGAGACCGATGGGGTGGAACCAAAGCTGTTCAGCGGAAGAGAGCAACCACAGAGCAGCCTGTTGGGTGGAGGGCTTGAGGGTTCCTAAAACCCAAGGACCTTCTGGTGAGCCTTTCCCCTAACCCTGCTTGAGGGAAGGTGCTGCCTCACACTCTCTCCAGTGCGTGGGGGTGGGGTGGCAGCGGCTGATCAAAGGCTGTCACCTGCAAGTGATAATGGCCTGGGTCTCTTCAGCACCGACCTGCCTTCTTCACCTTTCTGCTCGGATACCCCTTGGCACCTGTCCTTAAAGGAAAGAGCTGTCTGGATGGCCTAGTAGCTGTAGGCTAGGTAATGTTAGCCCTTTCTTCTGACCTAGGTATGTGATGGTGGTATTTCTACCTGTTTATGTTGAGACCTTTGCAGAGATGAAAAAAAAGCTTCCAGAGCTGCAAAAATGAGAGGTGGCCCTTCTTTAAAATTTATTTTAAGAGACAACTTTTAAAATTGCTTTTTAAAAAATTTGGCTGGCACCATCCTGCAGCCTATCAGATTTCCCTTGAGAACTGTGGATTATTGGCTTATTTCTTGCCACCTCCAATCCCAAATTAAGCAGAGTGACATATGAGAAGCTGGGGACATCAGCCTAAAGCGTTTATCAGGCATGTCCTTCCCATCTGGATCTTTTCTCTCCCTGGCCCTAATTTTATTTTAAGGAATGGGGTCTGTTTAAATTGCTGGTGGCAAAAGGATCCCTGGGCAGTGTTTCCATGGTCCTCTAAGGTGGAGTGTGGGGGAGCTGGGGACACACAGTAGTCATGGGTTATCCATCTTGGCCTCTTTCCCAGACCAAGTTCTGCCTCATGCTTATTGTTTTAGCTGCGAGTTATAGAATCTGATGTTTACCTTAGAATCCTAGGATGGAAAGGGTTAAGAATGATTTCTGATTTGAATTCCTTGTTTCTATGGAGTTCTTAAACCTATACATTACACTTATTATTTTACAAAGCACTAGTTCATAACAGTTGACAGGAACAAGTATGATTTGGCTTCTTTGTTTTTTGTTTGGTTATTTGAGACGGAGTTTCGCTCTGTCACCCAAGTCTGGAGTGCAGTGGCACAATCTCCGCTCATGGCAGCCTCTGCCTCCCAGGTTCAAGCGATTCTCCTGCCTCAGCCTCCCAAGTAGCTGGGATTACAGGTGCCGGCTAATGTTAGTATTTTTAGTAGAGACGGGGTTTTGCCATGTTGGCCAGGCTGGTCTCGAACTCCTGACCTCAGGTGATCTGCCCGCCCCCGTTTCACAAAGTGCTGGGATTACAGGCGTGAGTGACCACGTCCAGCCTTTTTTAGTTTTCATATTGATTATATTTTCTAAAACACATACTCATTTATATAGTCTAATAAAAGGTTTTTTAAAATAGTTGTTTAATCCACGTTGACATCTTCTTACGTTGCTGTAGAAATTTTGTTGTATTTATCCATATTATGAATTGCTTCAAGCCAGTGGTTCTCAACCAGTGGCAGTTTTGCCTTCTCTCCCACAACGGACATTTGACTCTATCTGGGGACAGTTTTAGTTGTCGTATTCGAGGGAGTGGGGTGTGAAGCTGGCAAGCATCTAGTGGGTAGAGGCCTGGGTGCTGGTCTGTTTTCTACACTGCACAGGATGGCACCTGTCTCACAGCCTAAAGCGTCGGTACTGGCTGACCAAATACGAAATGCCGTGGAAGACCAGGTGTGGTGACTCACGCTTATAATCCCAGCACTTTAGGAGGCTGGGGCATGAGGATTGCTTGAGCCCAGAAGTTTGAGACCATGTTTAAGTTTAAGTCCTCTAAAGTGGTGATTCCGAGGCTATGCAGATGAAGGCTGGTTTGCTGAAGAGCTGACTGGTATTTCATCCAACATCTGCATTTTTCTTTTGCTAAGAATGCCTTGAGAAACATTTTAGCCTTTTAGGCCTGAATTTGTTATTAGCTTAATAGCCTTCCTATGGTTGAATTTAAATGGAAAGAAAATTGCATCTTGCAACAAGAAAAAGAACATCAGGGAAAAACTGAGAAAATGGAAATAAAGTGTGGAATTTTGTTAATAATAAATCAACTTTGATGCCTTAATTCTGAGACATGTCCTGAACCAATGTAGATCTTAATAATAGGGGAAACTGGCTTCGGGGGACATGGGGACTCTATCTTATCTTTGTAATAATTCTCTAAGTCTGAAACAAAGTTTATTTAAAAAGCACAAAATTGTTGCCATTTTGTTAACAGATATAGTAGTCAATCTTACTGTTTTCTTTCTCTTTGAAATAGGCTGCTGCAAAGGTATGTTCTTTGTTATCTCAGCTCTCTGCTCAGGGTAGCCATGAAATGGCTCTTTCAAAAATGTGCCCAGATAAATTTGAACCATTTCAAACCATATTATGTGATTTTAATTTATTTTCTATTGCACTCACTAACTCATTTCTGGGTGGTGCATTTAAAAGACTAGACAGAATTTTCAGGTTTAAAAAGTTACATTAGCAGAAAATGTATTTGTAGGTACCAGTTGAAATACTGTCAGCTGGAGATGCTACCAGCAATGTGCTAGTTGGACAATGGGACTTGTCCCATTTTTTGCTGGGTGACAGCTATCACTGCCTCAGGGAGGCTGGTGCCATTTAACGCCTCTGATAATCAGAATAAGTCATGTGGCTTCTGGGTCCATAAAGCCACACAATACACATGCAGGCCTATTTTAATTGATGATAAGTCATGAAATACACTGTTTTCATATTAAGATAATATGGATACGTTATGGAACGAAGTTAAAAATTAGCATGAATTTTTAAAGTACTACTGGAGATTGTTGGCTTTAGGTTCGTGAACCCTGCCCCACACTCCTGTTAGTGGGGCTACCAGAAGGGCCAGTATGAAAAGCACTGGACTTGCAGATTAAAGAACTTGAGCTGGAATCAATTTGAGTCACTTCCCTTTGCTACAGGTGGGCAGAGTAGTTAT